CACCATAAAATAGATAGATGGTGATTTTCTGTCCAAGAGTTCACCTCAGGGTCAAGGCTCAGGAAACGCTACACTCACTGTAACTCACTCGCTCAGCTCACTCACATCACAGCAAATTTATGCTCCGCAGACATAAGTGCCTCCCAGCCTGTAACTGCTCTGATCCTATTACTATATTAACCCCACAATAAGATGTGTGCAAAGCCTACACAGAGGGAACTATTCACATCATGGGTGGGAGAATTCACGTAGTGTATTTAAAGGCTGTTATGTGGGCAAAGTGAATACACTATTATTGAGTGAGGTCAGGAGTTATGAGGTAAGGGTGAGGGCAGATTCAAAGTAGTCCCTTAATGTACCCTCTGCCTATTTGTAAATACAGTCAAAGAAAATGGACTGGTCTTATCACAACAGACATCAATGCATACATACACTTTAACCCTTCTTCTGGAGAAGTACAGAAATAATATTTTACAATATTTGTTTTTATCTCACCTTTGTAAGCACTTCACACAAAGATTTTATTTCTAAAATGAAATATGTTTCAATTCCAATCCCCTTTACACTCGTAAATAACAATAATACATTACAAAATCATGTCGAATTAAACCAAGCTGGAAAAAAACCCTCATGAGCCTGTTGATCTATTCTTTAATCAATAACCAAAAAAGTATTTTTTATCAGTAGCTTTTATATCACCACAAACAACATCAATGTTGTATATCTAACCTACAGAAACGCGAGTCCATTCTTTGGCACAACTCTGAACTCTGGATTCGTATACTGTATACAGTGTATAAAGCGTATAAAAGTCTTATCCAGAAATATGTGGCAGACAGCAGTGATCCAGTCCTGTGAAGTCACGCCTCAATCATTCTGATAAATAGCTCTGCCATTTGCCCATGTGCTTTCCGTCACACTGGCCAGCGGAGGCTCATTAGCCGGCTAGTGAGGCTAGCGATGGAGGTTGTTGCTGCACAGCAGATGTCAGTGGGGGTCTGTGAACCTGGGGCTGCAGCCAAAGGAGGGGTCAGCCTCCAAAACTGTGGGCTGCCACGGAGGAGACAGCCACCTTAATCAACTGCAAAGTTCACAGCGGCGCACAGCATCCAATTAACCAGCAGATAAATCACACAGCTGACCACAGAAGAGTGACTGCCTTTCAGCAGAATGTGTGCATGGTTGTATGAATTATGAAAAGTGTGTCTGTGATTCTGGTTACTGCAAGTCTGTTTGTGTGATATTTTGATGCTTTGTAAAACTCTGAGATGACAAAAGAACAAACTGATTGTTTTTAAGGGACATGTGGTGAGTGAATGCTCAATTTTAAAAAGGCTGCACTAATAATTTGGAACCCACATTTTATGTCCCTATTCACAATTAGGTAAGCTTTTATTCACCTTTGTAATCTTATTGAATACACTTTAGCTCTGTATTTAGTAGCTATTAGTGATTAATTTTATTTACAAGAGACATTTTTGTTTCTGACAGTCACTAGGTCAAGTTTCCATCCAAATGTAGCACAAATTTTCTGAAATTCAGCAAAAGAAAATGCGAATGAATCCATGGTGCTTATTCTCCTGTAGGGTGCCATTAATCCACTGCAGAAGAAGGCACACTCAGATGACTTAATTTAAAGAGCATCAGTCAAATTTCAAACATATTCCATGTATTAATGTGAGGAACATTACAGTCTACTTATCGGTCCACGAAGATCTGATGTTTTTACCACAATTTTCCATCTCTTCATTAGAGCGGAAGCTTCAGTAGTGACCTGCATTTTGCTTTTATTGCCTAACCCAACTTTCCACCTCACTCATAGACTATTTTTCTTTTTAAATTTGCAGCACCTCCACTCAAGAGTAAAATAGGTGGAGGACAACACATTTACTTTTAGATTCTTGCTGGCAAAACATGAAGCAGATTTTACATTTTACCAAGCAACACATTATAGATACTTTCTAGACTCCATCAGTCATTACTAATCAATAAGTTATTAGGCAACTTGTTATTTTTTCACTAAGACCTTTGCAACAACACTATTTCTAATTATGTTATCAATACATATGTTATTATATGACATATTAATCATACTGTTGCAAGTTTTAACATAGTCAAATGGTTATCAAATTAAATAAGACTAACTGGTTCCTACACTCAAATCACAATGGAGCATTCACTAGAGTGGAATACAACAGCAATTTGTTTTTAATTAACTAATGACTAACTTATTTCTTGCACAAAACCTTTCACTTCCCCTTCTCTTGGGACCAGAATGGAAATAACCCTAATTGCTTTTTGTGCATTAACCCCTTTAAAGGTTTGGCTGTCACAGCAGAGTGGTAATTTAAAATGGAAAACGAAAACCAATTGATTAATCAGTCAACCAAATTAGTCGAACTGGATGAGAGGCAAGTGCTGATGGAAATGATGATGACGATGCTGCATTCAAATTGCTAAATGAGAACAGTTACCAGTCAGAAGGGACACAATTTGAAAAAAACACTAACTTGCACCTAATGGAAAATGTAAAGATGAAGTTAGTCACCATTGCTATTAGTGCTATCACACATAAATTGCAGTTGGTAAAGGTGGTAGGTACACAAAATACTATAAGACGGAAGTAAAACATTAGAATAGCAACTTGTAGCTAGAACAAAGTAACTAGTAAATGTAAAATAGCAGCTGGCAAAACAGAATCGAATTACCGTGCATAAACAACATAAGTAGACTACAAGTGGCAAATTGTGAATGATTGTGGACTTAGGGGTAAACAATGACAAAAAAACCTGCTATAGATAATCCCATTCAAAAATATTACTGATTTCACCTTCTTCATAAAAACTTCTGTATAGCCCAATCAATAGCTAGCAAGTGCTTAAAAATGCATAAGGCACCCCTAATGAGCAGAAACACCAGCATGACACCAGCAGCACAGATGAGTCAGCGTGTGTTTATACATTAATGGCTGCATATTGCTTTCTGTCCCTCACTGTGTGACTAAGCACTAAGCACTTGATTGTGTTGTAGCAGCAGCTGTAATCCTAAAACTATTTCAGCAGCTGCTAGGTGCCTGAAGTATTAGGCAGACATTCAGGCTGATCTGAAAATAGATGGGGAAAAAAGACAATCAGGGAGCTTTGTAATCTGAGGGATGACAGGAAAACTGCAACCAGCCGAGCACATTAAATTATTCAATTAGCCATGAGGATGCTTTAAGGGAAATGGACTAAGGAGTTTAATCAAAATAGTGAAACGGTTTAAAATCACTATCAAAATGGCCTTATTTTCACCATATTCTGCTAGACCTAAGCAGACTTTTACCTTCATAGCCCCAGTTTATGTAGGTCAATAGCTGCTGCCTTTAACCTACTCACTCCCGTCCTGCCTGCAACAGATCCCGTGATCCCTCTCCATTTGCCAATAAAATCTAATTATCATCGCCTGGAGGATAACAGCCAGCTCTGGCCTCGGAGGTGACACCGTGGTTACATCATTTTATGGATTACTGCTAGTTCGGCAGCCATTTAATCACCTTGTACCATAATCTAACCATTTGTCATTCAGTTGTACATCCCTGCTACTCCCTGTGGATTTGCTCTCTATTGAGCACTGTTGGCCTGACCAAAGACTTGCCCTGACCTTAGTGGGACTTCCCAGACAAAGACATAAGCAAAAAGATGGCTGTCTATTGAGGAGTGTGAGTCATATGAAATGGATACAACAAAACAAAATAGTTGAACTAAGCTTTTTTCAAGAGGCCACATTTGCTGTTAAATCCCCAATTCCATCAGGTGCAATCACTGTTTCACCAGTCAAATAACTTTAATAAACAAGAAATTGCAGAGGGTATTATTTTAGCATACTTTTAGATAAACTGTGCTACTGAAATGAACCATTCTCTTGCAGGCCAGTAGACAGTTATACAAATTGTTAAGCCTCAGCCAAAGATTCAACCACATTTGGTGTGTGCTAGGCATTTGTTCCCCCATCCTGCTTAAAGCTAAAGGTATATCTTAATATATGACACTGAAATAAGCCACTGTCTCTACGGACGAATGAACTGTTTCCTCTATGGAAGGTGAAAGTGCTTTTAGCTGCCCTGCGCTTACTGTGTTTATCTTTAAAATCTAGGCTGTAGCTTTTAAATGAAGGAACAGGCCGTGTCCAGTCAAATGGAAAATCACTTTCTCCTTGTCACTACCTTACTCTGGGAAAAAAAGGCCTCTGTTCAGGGGAAGACTATGGCAGAGAACAACAGCACTATAATTTGAGATAGCATGGAGAAGCACCAGCGAAGAAGCATCCTGCAGTGAGACTTTGTAGAGGAAGAAAATCAGACAACTCAACAATCTCATGCCAAATACCCCATAAATTGTTGACCAAAAATCAGTTAGAAAATCAGTCTCTCTAAAATGGGCTTGCCATAACTACTTGTCTATTTTGCATACAATCAAAAGCTTGTTATTGCGTACGAGGTGCATTTTAGTATCCTGTGACAAATGCTCACTTCTTGCCTCGTGCAGCATTTGTAACGGTCTCCAGAGCCATCAAGGTTAATTGGAATCAGGCGTTAAAAGACGCTCAATATTCTAAAAGTGACACCAAATTATGTTAATGGTGGTTTGAAGTCCTTGTTATCAAGGTGGAATCAATCATGCTCATGTCCCTTGAGGTCAGCAGCCATACATTGCAATTAGCACCGTGTGTGTCTGTGTGTATCAGGAATGTTAAATGTCAGACAGAAGAGTATCCTCTCTCGACAACTTAACAATCAAGTTCACGTTAATCCAAAAATAGTCCAAAGTCCAAAAATACTAAATGAAAACACAATACAGATTTTTTTCTACCTGTATACTAAAATAAATATTGATTGTATATAAATAACTCATTAAGATAATGAGCTGGACATGGCTGTCGATGTCACACTGCAGCCAGACACAGGATTTACCCCCATGATAATTTTTCTGTATCACTGAAGCAGCCTGACAGCAGCAAACCTGATGGCTGTTTTCTCTGTTGCATCTGGTTCATCTGGTGCAGGAAGATCGTCAGCCAGAATCTCTTCGGGACTCCGTGGGTCATTCAGGGGGGCGTTCTGCTCTTTGCCTTTCATCCCCATCCCTGCCGTGATGGCATTCCACAAAGCACTCTGGGACTTTGAGCCTGCAAAAAAAACAAAAAAAAAACAAGTCTTAGTGGTATTTCAGTCGTGTAGTGCTTTGAATAAAGCTTTGTTTACTGGGTGTTTTTTTTATCAATTATTTAACAAAAAACTGAACAAGCTCCACTGAAAGTACATGGCTTTCAGGATCTCAGTAAAAGGGAGTAAGAGAACTGAGTGCCTTTGTTATGCTGCCCCCATGCGGATAAATGTTGTCAATGCTAGTCTTTAAAAGTAACACACTACACAGCAGGCAAGTACTAATGCAAAGTAGTAGTTATTTTCTTCATTTTTATCATCAATTACAGATTTCAAGGTGTCATGAAAAGTAAATGTGTAATACTTTGTATTCTATTTTTATAATATATCATTAACAATAGTGAGCAGCCCACGGTAAAGAGTAAAACGGTATACATTGATCATTTAAACATGCCAGCTGAAAACATTTACTAGTGAAATCTACTGTCAACAAGGTATGTGGGTGGATTATGGTTAGTAGCAGTAAAAGTATTTCTGAAAGTTTACTTTTTTCAGCTTTGACAAAACAAAATTAAACTCTGTTCCCCTCCATTTTACTGAGGCGGTCAGAAGTCTGTGTAGCAATTTTTGATCTGAAAGGTGAAATGATTTGAAATGAATGAATTTAGTGAACTGGCTAATAATGGAGCATGACTTATATAGAATATTACACGTACGCGCAAAACTGGCTTGTGGTCTGGTGGAGCCCTCCCCATCTTCATTTGCCACTGGAGGAAGAAAATTAGAAGAAAGAGAAAGAAAATGTGGTTAACAATTACTTCAAAAGTATCTGTAACTTCTGTTTTGTTATTGCACACACACATGTTCTGTGTTGACTACTAAAAACTATAGCTGGAAATGTACATTTTCCATTTTTCACATGTGCAACAAATACAGTATGAAAATTCACAGTCTATTAAGAACGCTACATTTTCCTCCACATGACTCAACATATGATTCAGAACTTTGCTTTCAGGTCATTAGTACAGACTGTTGTGAGCATAAACACACAAACATATATACTACATGCTGCACAATTAATTTTAATGAGACTCGCCACATTCTGCCCTCACAGGCCTTGTCATTTATTTCTTTTTTTATGTACATTTCTGTGTCTATATATAAGCCAGGAAGTGTCAGGAAGGTCATTAAACCCTGGAATTGCCGATAGTGAAAGTAGTGACTGTAATTGTTGCTGTCACTTCTGGTGCCCTGCTGGAATCTCACTGAACCCTGGGGACACAGCATGTGGGGTTCACAGAGAATAGTGAACTATACACACATCTAGAGCAGAAAAACAAGAATATATCAACACATCAAAATGTACAATAAAAAATAGTGCTACAGTGTGCAGAAGGAATCTCAGCGTGAACACCTTGTTGAACCTTGAACTTGACGAAGGCACAGCTGAACACTTACACAGCGTAACTCTGTAACAACAGCTGTCCTCGTTTGTGTTGTAACACACTGATGGCATGGTCAGAATTGGTTGTTGAAACAACAAATAAGTATAAAGTATTGTACAACACACTGGAACAGATGCAATCTTTCACTGCTGTGGTCAATGTTTGACAAAACCTTAAGGTGCAGTTCCCTTATTGGCCACTAGATGCTGGATCCATGAAACTCAGAAAAACACTTCCTTTAACAACAGAACGCCAATATACACTCACCTAAAGGATTATTAGGAACACCTGTTCAATTTCTCATTAATGCAATTATCTAATCAACCAATCACATGGCAGTTGCTTCAATGCATTTAGGGGTGTGGTCTTGGTCAAGACAATCTCCTGATCTCCAAACTCAATGTCAGAAGTGTGAATGTCTGAGTATTTCACAATCTGCTCAGTTACTGGGATTTTCACGCACAACCATTTCTAGGTTTTACAAAGAATGGTGTGAAAAGGGAAAAACATCCAGTATGCGGCAGTCCTGTGGGCGAAAATGCCTTGTTGATGCTAGAGGTCAGAGGAGAATGGGCCGACTGATTCAAGCTGATAGAAGAGCAACTTTGACTGAAATAACCACTCATTTCAACCGAGGTACGCAGCAAAGCATTTGTGAAGCCACAACACGCACAACCTTGAGGCGTATTATCCTTCCAGCAGGATAACACACCATGTCACAAAGCTCGAATCATTTCAAATTGGTTTCTTGAACATGACAATGAGTTCACTGCACTAAAATGCCCCCCACAGTCACCAGATCTCAACCCAATAGAGCATTTTTGGGATGTGGTGGAACGGGAGCTTCGTGCCCTGGATGTGTATCCCACAAATCTCCATCAACTGCAAGATGCTATCCTATCAATATGGGCCAACATTTCAGCAACTTGTTGAATCAATGCCACATAGAATTAAGGCAGTTCTGAAGGCGAAAGGGGGTCAAACACAGTATTAGTATGGTGTTCCTAATAATCCTTTAGGTGAGTGTATGTCTAAAGGTTAATCTGTGCCATGGTAGTCGTCATCTTATAAATGACAGGGCAAGGATGAAACTCAAAGGGAAGCATGTTTTGTTTTGTTTGCCTTCAGTCTTTAATGGCATTAACCAGAACTCCACCACTTCACCCAATGTAGGATTTCCCGGTCATAATTACTTACTAACCCAATTCTCCCCAGCAGCCATCACACTTACCTGTAACAACACAATTAAACACAACCCTTATATGATTAAAGGAGTTTGATGGTGTCCTAGTCGGTGACAGAGAGTACCCCTACTGACCTCATTGATGCTCTGACCCTTAACCTGGCCCAGAGCAGGACTACATCTAGGATTGAAATGAACATCTGCATGCTCAAGATTTAGTGGATGCTCAGGCTTATCCCAGAAAGCTCAGTGACATTATAATGGTCTTTATCAATCCTGAGGATCATAACAAAGAAAAAACCCTACCACCACATTCTGCAGATCTCTGAGATAAAAGAGTTGTCTGAGACACAATTTCCCAAAACTATGTTCTAATTGGCCCACCACAAACCCCAGCTGTCTTCAAATTAAGACTGATTTGCTTATTGATTTCTTTATTCCTGAAAATTCAGTGACAAAATGCTTTAATATTCTGTTACCGTCATTGACATCATCTACACTCTCCCACCCACCTTCAAATCGTGAGTCTCTTGTCTTCCAAGTGGAGCTTGCATTTTTCCATTTGTGTTCACACAAAGAGGCAGCACCAGAGCAGATAAGAACGACCTTCGGTTAAGCTTGAAGTATCCTTGGGCAAGATACAAGATACTGAAAGTATCCTTGGGCAAGATACAAGATACTGAACCCTGATTTGCCTCTGGTGGCTGTTCCACCAGTGTGTGAATGTAAGTTTCTGTTTGAGCACTTAGGCTCAATGAATGAATGTGTGTGAATGCAGATGTAGTGTAAAAGCACTTTGAGTGGTTGAAAAGACTAGAAAGGTGCTATACAGAGCCTTTGCATTTGCTCTGTTAGAGGACAAGGGTATGCGAGTTTTAATGTGGCATATTCAAGATGTGTGTGCATGTTTGTAGGCGTTATTAAATTTCTCCCACTGGCTGAGCAAATAGCCTCTTCATCATCTTCCTGTGATGAATAGAAGCAATATTGTTTGATTTAGGCTTATAACAACAATCAGAATGTCCGCACATCTTCCATGCTCAGTAAATTAAACCATCTGTAACTGCTGGAAGATGAACGAGGTTAGATGCCAAAGTTAATATTCTAAGTTTTGTCAATGGTACACAGGGGTTGACTCAGGCAGCAAATACTGACAAAAAAGATTTATGTTAATTGTAAATAGAATAAATCTATAAATTTAGGGGGGGTTCTTACCAGGGGTTCTTTCCAACTGAGGCAGTGGCTCGGCTCTCCTAAACCTCTAAAACTTTTTCCTGTTGGCCAGAGTGGAGTTTTTGGAGTTAATTTATTGCACGATATTTCTTTTCATACTGCACATTGCTGCAGTCGTAGTCGGTAGTATTAACGTATTTCTGTGGTTTTTACATGGTCTGAATTTGGTTGTGGCTCCATGGGGCTTTATAGAACCATGATAGAGAAAGATCAAGAGGTGAATTTGTGCATTATACTTGCAATTAGAGCAAACCAGGCAGCCTTCTGTGTTTGAGAACTGCACTGTTTTTTTTTATATAGCCCACTAGAGGGCTGCAGCGCCGCAATAACCAGCCTAGTTAAAATGAACAAAATGACACAAAAAAAGATTAGTTCATTTTAAAGAACGAGATTTGGTGACTCAAGTCTTTCAAAAGAGTGACTTTTCCCATCACTACATAATACCGAGCCAGATGGAGCCGGTGTTCCATATATGGTCATGTGCTCCCACACAAAGGGCATGGCAACGCTCAGCCTGTTCCTCCCAGGAACAACAACAGCCTGGTAACATGCTTCAGGTCTTGGCCAATCATAAGACAGTGGGTTTTGAGAGGGGGAGCCTTAAAGAGACAGGAGCATCTACACCTTGTTCAGACAGAGGCTGAAATGAAGGCCTACATGAAGAATCAGTATAAGAAAAAAAATTTTTTTTTTGAACTTTGAATCATGCAAAGCTGCCATACAGGAGTCACAGAACTATAATATAGGACTGACTATAATAGGTCTCCTTTAACACTAGTATGAATCCCTTGGCCTCATCTGACATTTAAGTTTTGAGAATAGCTCAGTGCGATAAGAATCTGAGCTAACGCATGTTCTCTATTGAGACAGACACGGGTTCGACTCCCATGAGTTCACTATTTATCTTTGTTGTAGAGGCAACGAAAACTCTCGGATTTATTCATTACAGTACTTTCATGGATTGTATGCTGTCCCTTTTTATATTTACACCCATCGTCCTCAGAGGTCTGGAAATGTATACAATAAGCAAAAACTTGTCTACTTTAATCAACTCAGGGTCTAGGATTCATGGTTTGTTACACCACCCTCTGTTCACTGCTGTAGACAATACTGATACTCAATAAAACATTAATTACATAGATTTAATTGTCTAATTTTAGCCTGTATACTAAAGGTGCACTACTCAGCCTGTGAAAACAGTTTAATAAGCTATTTAGCATTTTAACAAAATACACAGAAAGCCTGTGTTACAAACAGAGGGGGTTGAGTTTAAAAGAGGTGGGCTTTTACCAGACAGAGAAGGTATAATAAAAAAAAGTGGGTATACCTTAATTCAAAATGTTTTGAACAAAATGTGTGTCATCAGACAAAACGAACACTATTGAGTCTCCACGAAGATAGACATACAATTAATTAATTTCACAGCAATCATACTCTTTGTCATACCGGGACTTCCGTTCACTTGACCCAATCTTGTACAAGACTTTGTTCATTTTCACGCATGCGGAAATAGTCTTGGACTCTTACGTTCACTCGTCACGCGGAAGCTGCATGGACTCTGTCAGCACAGGAAATGGAATTGATTAGTTCACGGCGGTTTCTCAATACCGAGTTCGCCAAGTTCAGACTTCTGTACTTTAAAGCTCGGACTTGGCAAGTTCAGCTCAGAAGTACAAACTCGCAGGAACGGGAGCAAGCAGTCAGTCATTCAGCAATTGGAACAGCAGCGAACTTGATGACGGCCAGACCCGTTAGCGAGCGGGACCTCACATCTCCAAAAACGTCATAGCAATTTTTTAAATCAGCTCTGTCTTGAGAAATCAACCACATACTTGAAGTTTAAACAACTATATTCCCGCAAAAATATCCTCTTAAAACTACTATATGTGACACAAGAACAGCAGTA